CGGCTGCTGTACCACAGGCGTCCGGAGCAAAGCCGCGGAGCACGGGCAGGGGGACAGCCCAGACGTGCCGTGGCTGTCCTGCTGCCCTCGGGCTCTGCGGCTTTGCTCTCCGTCTCCCTGGTCTGTAGACCAGGGGACGGGGAGTAAAGCCGCGGAACACGCAGGCAGCGGACAGCCCAGACGCGTCTTTGCTTCCTCTCCCTGGTCTGCTGGAGACTAGGGAGATGGGCCCCATTCGTAACTGCGGATCTGTTGGATCCGCATAACTCGGGGACTGCCTGTATTTCGGAATAACTATTCCAGAATAGCTTGTTCCAAAATAAGTGTGCAGTGTAGACGTAGTCTTACAAGCCACAGAATCTCTCCCAGTCACTCCTGGAATAGATCTATAGCCTCTGGCTGAGTTCTCAAACAGTGATTTAAAGACAGAAAGTCCACCATTTATTCTAATTTAAACCAGCAAATGACTCCTGCCCATGCTGCAACAGAAGATGAAAACTCCACCCCCCAGAGGAATATTTCTTTAACAATGAACAGATGTTGAGCAACTGGAATAGTATTTAACCTTCATTTATTTCCTCTGGTGCAGTGGAAACTACAACTAAGATCTACCAACTCACAAAACCAGGTTACCCTGTCTCACAGTGGTCACGGGCAGCTATCTTTTTATTTTTTTTAAACCACCAAAGTGTAGACTGGTCTCCAAACTTTTTACACCCAAGATGGCTTTTTAAGCCAAGATCTACCCCATCCTTTCCTGGAGACTCTGCCCCACCATTCCCCTTCTCTCCATCACTGCCTGTCCCCAGCCCTTACTCACGCTCACTGAGTTGAAACAGGAGGTGCGGGCTCTGGGGTGGGAATGAGGGATTTGGGTGTGGGAAGGGGTGAGAGGTGCAAGCTCTGGGAGGGAATTTGGGAGCAGGAGGTGGGGGAGAAGATGATGTTGACTTAGGGAGGGGGCTCCAGGCTGGAGAGTGTTGGGGTCAAATGAAGGGTTGGAGTGCTGAGGGTGCAGGAGTTTGGGTTGGGCTGTATGAGGGGCTCAGGGCAGGGGCATTGGGAGTATGATGGCTCAGGTCACAGATTTGTGGCGTGCGGATGGTGCAGGACTTGTGGCAGAAGACTGGGGATGTATAGTAATTTGGGATTGTGGGGGGCTCAGGGCAGGAGATTCAGGTGTATGATAGGCTCAGGGTAAAAAACATAGGAACAGCAAGACTGGGTCAGCACAACAGTCCATCCAGCCCAGCGTCCTGTCTGCCGACAGTGGCCAATACCAGATGCCCCAGAGGGAGGGAACACAACAGGGAATCCTCATGTGATCCCTCCCCTGTCACCCATCCCTAAACAGAGGCTAGGGACACCATTCAGCCCATCCTGACTAATAGCCATTGATGGACCTAACCTCCATGAATCTATCTAGCTCTTTGCTGAATCCTGTTACAGTCCTCACCTTTACCACATCCCCTGGCAAAGAATTACACACGTTGACTGTACAGTGAGTGAAGAAACACTTCCTTTTGTTTGCTTTAAACCTGCTGCCTATTAATTTCATTTCGTGACCTCTAGTTCTTACATTGTGGGAATAAGTAAATAACTTTTCCTTATTCACTTTTTCCACACCACTCATGATTTTAGAGACCTCTATCATATCCCCCCTTAGTCTTCTCTTTTCTAAGGTGAAAAGTCCAAATCTTTCAAATCTCTCTTCATATGGGACCTGTTTCAAACACCTAATAATTTTTATTGCCTTTTTTTGAATCTTTTCCAATGCCAATATCTCTTTTGTGAGATGAGGTGATCACATCTGTACGCAGTATTCAATATGTGGGCGTAGCATGGTTTCATATAGAGCCATAAGATATTTTGGTTGGTGTGTGTGTGTGTGGGGGTGCAGAAGTGTTATGATTCTGTGGCCAGATTGTGGGGGAGGGGTTGGCCCCAATTAGGGGCTTGTTGGCCAGGCTTCATTTTTAAATAAAATATTATGTCCAACAAAAAAGGTTTCATCATTGTCATTATTTGTGGGAGGGGCAGGGAACCTGTTTTAGGTCAGGGGCTGCCAACCTACAGAAAAATCGGTTGAGGACCACACAAGTGAGATGCAAAAAAACAACCCCTCCAAACCTCACTGATGTGACCCCAACTGAGACTCCTCACTCTCCTGGCATTCCAACCCCCTGGGGAAAGAGAGGGTAGGTAGGACTGAGGTTCAAGACCTCAGGCCAGATTAACTCTTCTGGGTGTTCCAGGGTTGGTCGGATTTTGTAAGCTCCCCTAGGTTCTGGGGTGGAGCTAAACATGAGGGATCCAGTGAGCAGGACCGGACTGCCAGTGAGCAGGATAGAGATGGGGGTGCAGAATCTGGATTATCTCACTCCCCAGTCTTAACCAGGATTTGCATATGGCAGCACTTTTGTTTGGAGTAGACCCTGATTCCCTTCCTGTGGAAAAGTACCAGGTGACATGATCACATGACTCTGTGATGTCAAAGGAGCATTCCCGCAAACTTCTCAGGAAGGAGTGTGATTACTACCTTTAAAGACCTATTGTCCTTCTTAATGTCCCATCTAGACTGACTGCATACTGTCTGAAGAAGTGAGTTGTGCC